GTCCCATAGACTTGTGTACACTGAGGTTCTTCAGGTGGTGTTAAACCTGATCTTCCCTTACAGTGGGACGGGCTTTACTCCCCTGGTCCCCATCTTTTGGTCCATCGATTCGGGAGGGATGAGAGAGGTTGCTAGGGAAGACTGAGGCAAAGAAGTTGTTGAGTACCTCAGCCTTCTCCTCGTCCATTGATACAAGTTCGCCCTTCTTGTTCCTCAAGGGGGGTACGCTTTCTTTAACCTTCCTTTTCTGGGTGATATACCTGTAGAAACCCTTCTTGTTATTCTTTACATCCCTTGCCAAATTCAGCTCCATCCTCACCTTGGCCTTCCTGACCTCCTCCCTACACAACCAGGCCGTTTCCCTGTATTCCCCCCAGGACACCTGTCCCTGCTTCCACTGCCTGTGCAGTTCCCTCTTACTCTTTAGTTTGACCAGCATGTCTCGACTCAGCCATGCTGGTCTCTTCCCTTCCTTGCCTGATTTTTTGCACTTGGGGACTGATAGCTCTTGTGCTCTATGGAAGGTGTCTTTAAAGATCTGCCAACTCTATACTTGTGAGAAATCCACGTTCTGGGTGTTTGGAGTTAGTTTTTGGTTGGTTTTGTTTGTTTTGTTTATTAACTTTTTGTTGTGATTTTAGGAAGGAATTGAGTGGTTAGGCTAGTTATTTTATAAATACAGTAAATGAAAGTTTGTTTATTTTTCTTCCCCCTGTGACATGGTAACACTCTTGGCTATATGTGCTAGGAGCGCTAAGCCCAGCTCTACATGACTTGCAAAGTTTCTTTTTCTAGAGTTTCATAAACCACGTAGGATGTGTTGTACCAGGCTTTTCTGCCATTTGAGTAGACTGTTGCAGTAGCCACAGTCTTGCTCTGATACCTGTATCTGAGTATAAACGATTAATCTGAAATTTAGTGTTGGCTTTCTTCAGATGTGAACTTTTCTTTGTACATAATCAACTTCATAGTATTAGTTATACAATAGTGCAAATGTTCGACTTTACAAACAATGTATTGAAAGTGGAAACTTGTGTGTGATGGTAATATTCCCATTTTTCTCTCCAAAGTATGAAAATAACGTAGCTGTACGAGACAGAGTGGCATTTGCTTGCAAGTTCCTCAATGATGCTCAGGTAAGTTTGTGGTGCACATTTAAGCAAGCTGTTAAGCTAGGCTTTATTTAGAGGCAGAAGAAACTCTGGGGTGGAGGGGTGAACAGTGGAAGCAATGATTGTTTTTTCTCATCACAGTAGGATATAAGGTATGGTATAATCTGGTCTTCAGTTTGTACCTTCAGCTTGATTTTTGGTTTTTTTTCTTGTTTGTTTGGGTTTTTTTTATTAGTATTCATGACATTCTAGTTTGTTAAATGCTATTGTGTTACCTGTATGTCTGTTTTGCTGGAGAGTATTTGTACTCATTCAGTATTTATTTCCAGATGCTTATGTTCTCTTGAGTTAAGGCTTGGTTTTACAGCAGGAA